AATATGAAAAATGAAATATTTAAATATTGCTTAAGATGTTTTTAAATTTTGAATAAATAGTCAAAAGAGTGATTTTCTCTTTCCTCATTCGGATGTGACCAGTATGGCTAAACAAAAACTTTGTGCAAGGTCACGATTGGAAAAAAATGCACAAAAACCTAAGTACGACAAAAGGCTTCCTAACCATTTCCCTCTACAAACTATGCTACCAAACTATGCCATGCATGATGGAGGAATGAATAATAGATACTAATGAGAAATCTTTTGTTGAAGTTCCTCCAAGATGGCCGCTGTGARGCATAGTGAAAACGAAGAATATTAAACAAGTTCGAACTGATGAACTTTGCTTCGACAACACAATACTCGATAATATTGTGCTCAGATCAGCTACCTGAGTCCTCACACCAATCTGCAGGTGCAATATCACCCTCTTACACTGTATACGTAAATGGCGGGCTTTCCACGTGTACAGACGAGTGACGTACATGACCGCTCTGGTTGGGTAGTTAAGGGCACTGCTTGACGTCTTTCTCTTGTAAACAATCTTTTCAAACTAATATGCTTATCATTGTGCACTTTTTTATAGTGAGTAGTGTGACGGAAAAATCTTTTGTGTAGGTTTACTACGTTGAAATTACTGCTATTCATAGAAATATCTGTAACAGTCGATTGAGCATGTTCTGACCGTCACGCATTCTTAACAGTATGATGAAACGTTTGTGGACAGTACAAATTGAGTAATAATCAATATTGTAATCGCTGTTCAGCTTCACGAATGAGTTTCTACAGAACTCTTTATTTCCCTCTGTCCAAATGCTTCTCACCCCAGCCCTGTCTCGTTTGTCACTTAGTGTAGTTTTCGGCCTTCCGTTATCCCCTAGAGCGAGTTGTGGATAGTAAATTGACTAACAATCAACACACTTTTATATCAAATATATACTAGTTTTGAGCCAAGTCAGTCAAGTGTGATATACAAGAAGGCATGGAAACAATGCAATTAGCTTACCGTGATGTACAAGTGTAATATCCGTGGTTTTGACGTCAGTCTTCAACGTTCTGCATCAAAATGTACTTTGAAGGAAAGACACCAGCTCTTTCTGCTTTCTGGGCAACAATTTTCAACGAGTAGGGATTGTAAAAAATATCCGATTTTCGTTTAATACTAACTACTTCATTTATTTCGTGTCAATTCCACTTTCACTATATTGTTCAAGATTTTATACAGCAAGACGTTCGAGTAAGTCTCGAATAATAATATACACCTTATTACCTTAGCCGAATGCATCGTCTTTTGTGTTTATTTATCTATCACACACTTCAATAGCCAATTTCTGTTTCACGGGTTTAATGACTTCACTCTACACTAACACACCTTASTATACTCTAATTGCTTTTTTCCCCTTTCATGGATGTAATACCTTTTTATTTAGGACAGAAATACAATAAAGTAATCTCTAAAATATCTTTATTAAAAGTCATCTATATACATAAGTACTAAAAACAACAAAATAAGTCACAAAAACATCACATAAAAACGAGTACTAGACTAAACATCAAATACAACTAAACAACTCTTGTAATCATTAATCTCAAAAAACGCTTTGTAGAATTTTTGAAATTTAAATAGCGTSCAATTCCCATTAAAATAATTTGAACAGAAACAGCAGTACTCCCCTGAATTTAAATGAATTCAATGGATGATGATTCTCATAGAATCATWAAATGTCTATTAAAAAGAGAAAACTACAATGTCCTTGGATTCTATTTGTAGAGGTACCTTGTCAATTAAAATTGCATTCAATAATTATTGAAGGTGTTAAAATAAATATGTTGAACCCAGTATTATATGTAATAATCCCTACTAATTATTACTAGTCCATCTTATCAACATGTGTAGTTCTTTATAGTTGTTCTSACAATTGCCTCTGTAACACTGTATGGATCACAGTTTGATGATGGTCGTCTATCTTCAAGATAGCCCTTGCCATCCTCGGCACATTGACGTGGAATTCTTACACTGGCACCTCTGTTGGCTACACCATGAGAGAATTGATAAATACTTGAGGTCTCATGCCTTCCAGTCAACCGACGTGCATTGTCTTGTCCTTGCTTGGGGTCATATTTCTTGATGTGGTAGTCATGGTTCTTTTCAAGCTTGTCAATGGCTTCATAGATCAACCTCATTCCATTTTCTTCTCTCATTCCAACGGTGCTGGTGAAAGACAAAACAATGTTAACATAAATCTAAGCCAACCTATTATCAACCTATGAAGACATATATATAAACAATTGCACGATCATGTCCAAGTCAAATACTGAAAGCTTGTTCAGGCAAAAAGAAAACAGTTTAACTAGCAAAAGRTGAACGTTATTCAAGTAAAATGACTGCTAAATTTTATCTCYAGGAATGATGGGGGACAGTTGAATGACAATTGAATTTAATTCCCTAAAAGATCTTGTGAGTTATGGTATATTAATAACCATGTACATAGCACCACTGATGTTACTGGTAGCAAGTAAGTACAATGCCTACCTGTAATTGCAGTGAGCACCWGCACCATTCCAGTCACCAGGCATGGGTTTAGGATCAAATGATACAACAACATGGAAGTCTTCAGCAACTCGATGAAGGATATATCTTGAGATCCATAGATGATCACCCATCTCAATGCCTTCACATGGTCCAACTTGGTATTCCCACTGTGGATTCAAGTTGAGAATGTATTGAGCTTCGCAATTGCCCTATTTCATTATGACATCACAGTATGTTTACATCCAAAAACGATGCTCAAAAACTGTGGACTCTTTTATATTGTCTARTAAAGTAGAACCTCAATGAATCACATTTTGATATATYTCATGTATAAATGATTGTTCATGTACATTTTATTTGATATGSAGTCACTCTGATCCCTTCTGGCGACCATAATCCTTAGCGTTAAAACAATAGAATGTTTTGATGTGACGTCATAATGAACTAAMMRAATTGATGATTAAATTAAACGCTGTATTGTTTTCKAAATTATTGTTGGTTTTTGGTTGATTCTATAAAAGCCATGTTTGGTGGTATTAACAAGTATYACAACACAAATTATTCTCACCTGAGCAGGCATAACCTCYGCATTAGTACCAGCAATCTTCACACCAGCATACAAACATGCTCTGTAATGTGCTTCTACTACTTCTCGACCAAACACTTTGTTGGTACCAACACCACAGTAGTAAGGTCCTTGTGGTCCTGGAAAGCCTCCCTTTGGCCATCCAAGTGGGTGCCCATCAATGTCAAGCAGGGTGTATTCTTGTTCAATGCCAAACCATGGATYTGAAGACTAGAAGAAAATTSAAAATCAAAGTCATTTCATGGAATTAAAAAAAAAGAACGCAAAATATTTTTGCTTTTATAAGCAAAATCACTATATGAAATAATAATAATCTAAAATAATAAGTTGATGATAGAGAGGAAAAGTATTTTTCAAGTCATGACGCATTTTGAACATATTGAAAAGTTATTGGAGCAAGTGGCATTTGTAATTTTAGCTTCCATAAAAATATCTTGGAATAGCCAAGGTTGCAGACAAGTGCTTAGAAAAATCTCTGACGTATTTCCTTCCGGCGACTTAATTATTCAAGCTAGTCTTACGTTTTTCCGCGATGTGTAAAAAATCCCAGGGAAACTAATAAGAATAATTTAAACACGAAAGAAATGTCAGAAATGTAGAATTATAGTACCCTTGYGTTGCTTCTGTCCTCAAAAATTTTCATAAAAAGGGAAAACCTTGAAAAAAATTACTAGTATTTAATTTGTTTTGATACTTTTATGAATGGCACTCGAAACGTGCCAGAATGATGCAAGACCACGAATCCCGAAAATATTRAGTGTTAAACTAAAATGTTTTTATTTTTTTTAGAACAAAAATACTTAGGAAATAGGAAGGAGAGTAATTTCAGGAAATCTCTCTACAAAACAAAGCTACTTGAAACTCAAGTTGGACTTTGCTCGTGGATTTTTTCAAAACAATTTGTCGCGTGGACTTTTTTCAAAACAACTTTTCGCGTGCAAGCTCCACTGTACTCAAGTTTAGGATTAATTTACAACTGAATCTTTCTCAGTGGATTTAGCGACACAAGATATGCCTAGATACAAACTGCTTGTTGGGGCAAGAACAAGTAATCGATTGCTKGATTCGACCTTTGGACTCGCATCTCTGAATCAAAACAACGCGACTTGTGCATTTTTARACTCGAATCGCGGTCAAAATTGAGATTAACGACGATTACAATGTTCAGCGTCTAAAACAATCTTAATTCTAAACAAGCTTGGTGGTTAAGAGACTTCTTCACTCGAGTAACATAAGTAAACCAGCATTGCGATTCGTCCAACAAAAGGCCCGCGCTTTCCCCCGCTTGGTTCCTATGACCTTATTAGCCTTTCTCTGTCATCGTTCTTAATATTTCCATAACTGAAACTTTAGCACATGTAGAAAAACTTCCATCCAAAGCAAATACATCTCACAATAACCTTAATATATAGTTAACTGTGCCTCACTTTGATTTTTGTTACGACTCTACTGGAAAGTTAGTTCAGCTTATAAGCTTTTCAAGTTATTATTATTATTCAAAAATAATTGGCGTATTCTTTCCTCGAACGTTTCTCAGCTTTATCAGTTGCAGTTTTAGAGTATAACAACRTTTAGCTTCGCTTATCATTCATCTCGTCAACCGCATTTCGAGTTCGAACAACTCGCGCCAAAATGGCAGTAATTTTAATATGGCAGTTTATATTGAACCGTTTATATTAACTTAAATAAGAACTTACTTTAACTTCAGGGTCGTTCATTATGTTCATACAGGTCTTTCTGTTGTTGGTGTGTGTTGGCTTATGGTCGTGTGTGTAGGTCTCGCAGAGAACCAAYATGTTTTCTCCGCCACGGAATGGGTCCTTGAAAATAGCTACAGGATGAAGATAGACATCGCTGTTATGGCCCTCYGCTTGTGCGGTACTCGATCCATCGAAGTTCCAGATTGGAAGGTCTTCAATGGAATCTGGCCTTTTCTCTAAAGTCTTGGTTTTACAACGGATACCTTCGCCTGTACCGTCAATCCAAATGTACAAGGCTTGAACGCTGGTTCCTTGGTCAAGTTTCGAATACCTCTCCAAAACACATGTRTTGTCAGAGACAGTTCTTTTATCGTGAAGACTCATGGCTCTGTCCTTAAATTTWGCTTACTAATAACGACGGGGAATACTGTGGACGAAAATGGTTACATAAATGTTTATCCTTCGCATTTAAAATGTATTTAAAAAGAAATACTTACCTACAAATATCAAGTCTGAATAAATAGAGGAATGATGAAACTTCTGAGGTGGGCTACGATTTATAGCAACTAATGACGTCAACCGACCATTGAGTGAGAACCAATCAGATTACAGAATATCCACGTGTCCATCACGCAGTGTGGGCCTTGTGATCCTGTCGCATCCATGGATACTCACGTGTAAATCCCGGGTGAAATCCCGGGTAGCATCCAATGTGAAATCCCAAATAAACGAAAAAAACACACTCATATACGGATTTCTGATATTGTAATAAATAAAGTGTTGTTATTGCTCTAAAATAATTTCTTTAATATTTGAATGTACTCCTGCAAGGATAAAGTGCAACCTACTAGTCAATAAAAAATATTTCAGAACACCATTTCTTTTGCACMTWSATCTTTTTGKAGGCTGCGGGTGAGTGCATGATTGTGCTAATATCGATATCAACTGGCATGAAAAACACTGAGCCTCTGGCAGGTTTCCCGGGATCTCCAAATCTGCATACTGTCAATTTGCATACTATGCATGTACCGGAAGTCATGCTGTTTTCGGCGAAAGCGGTRKACACGCGAWTTTTTTTTAGGACGAGATGGAAATTGTRAGTGTCACTTTRATCTTATTATTCCATATGCAAAACGTTATTGATTGGTAATTCAAAACAAAAAATATTAAAATATTCCAATTTATTCCTGTATTCGTGCAGGCTATACAAAATCACTCTTCCCAATCACTCTCACTAACCACTCTCAAAGAAAGGCAGAGGAAAGTTAAAATCAAGACGTCAATGCCAACACAACTCGAAGATTGATTGTGTAGACGAATACGGAATGATACGATGAATCAAATTATAATTWCTTAACAATTAGAATTTTAAGCAAACAATTTATGAATGTAGTTTTTTTCGTTAAGATCTTATTATTTTAACTTCGACATCGAGCGCCTGTCAGTTGGTGACCGAGTGGTAGTGCCTTTGATTTCCGACCCAACGGGCCRAAGTTCGAGACCCAGATGAGTCCATAACTTCTTTTATTTCTTTATTTGCCAAAAKATAYATAAATTCAATGAAATATAGCACAGGGAAACCGGTAACGGAACATTGGTGAATAAATTACAATAAAGCAATAAGAATAAATTAATAATTCTGAACACAAGTAACGCASGCTCAAGTTCACAGGGAAGTGAGTGACTGACTTAGTYAGAGACAGATTCGTCTCTCTCCAATAACTCTACAATTGCTTCGCAATCTTCCAGTTAAAAAACTGAAAAAGGGAAAAACAACAACAACAACAAAATCAAGCTGACCAAGCTGTATGTCTGGTTTTGTGCAATCGCAGTCGGGGTGCATCACAGCAGAAACCACTTGCTTAGCCTGCGTATACATCACACATCCGGTTTATTACGTACGCGAGTAAATGCTGGATGAAACTCAGGCTAGGAGAGCAGTAGAGTACCTACATTTCTTTGTGGGGATCTATAAAAATAGCTTAAAATTTCCAATTCTACGCGCTAACTCGACGCTAGTTAATTTTAAAGCCAAGTCAGACGCGCGGACGAGATAGTACTATAACAAGCAATAACAAATGCATGACAAAGCTCTCGGCCCTGGCAAGTATAAAAGTATGTGTCATGTCACATCGACGGAATCCAGAAAMTTTTCAGATTGGAGGGAATTTACCGATCCAAATATATTTCAGAAACACTAACATAACAATATTTTCCGAGCGTGAACTTTCACGAGTTACAATAAGAAATCTAGGGTGCCGGCCGGACTTTAAGTGAGAAAAAGAGTAGGGAAAATTCCACCTTTTCCCCTCCCCCGAGTCCGCCCCTGACCATATATATTTTTGTGATATGCCAAGAGCTGCCTCATCACAAAACGTTTGACTTTTGGTCGATCGAGGGTCGATTTACAATGACGAAGGTCGAAGTTTCCTGTCAACGGTTGAATGTATCACTAAGCCAAGGGGCCGGAATTTTCAAGGGAATCTCCCCGCCCCCGGGTGCACTAGACACGGTAAGTAATCATATTCACAATCAATTCAGGTTTTGACAAAATTCTTGTTTTTTAAACCTATTTGTTTGGGCAAGCTTCTTGCAATAGTTTTTTTAGTGCTTTGCAGATCCGGGAACCGTGCCGCAACAAACAGACAGCTCATAAAGCACGGGAAATGCGTGGGACTTCGGTTATGTTCCSGACATTAAATATATGGATAGATCTAGAAAAGATTTAGGTGCTCAATCAAACAAATACCATTTAATAGCGCGGTTAGAACTGTCGTTAMTCCTGTTACAAAGTCATGATGATTACGACGACTAATGTATAAATATTGCTCAAACAAAACCGATGCTGCTTTTCCTTCCTGCACCCATCCGATCAGCCTTCCCGCCATTAAACGGTTTACAAGGTGATCATCATTTGAAGAAGCAACATATTATGTCTTGAGGATTACTTATGGGATTCCTGTGTAATCAATACTCGAACATTACATAGTACTTGGGGTATTTCGCTTGGAATGATTTTCCCTTTTCATTTCTGTTTCTTTCGAGTTCATTTTTTTGGAGTTATGTCTACTTTAAGCTTTGAGTTGAAACTAGAATAGTAACTGACTGGAATTGTCGTAGGTAACGTGACATACTGATAAGTTGACGTAAAGCCACAGGCAACCCAAGCAAAGCATTTGATTCAAAATTGTTTTTTTAATAAAATACATTTTACCTAAATCTCATGTGTTGCTGATGTTATTTAACATTGCTGTGTGCGATTTTGAAGGGATTTAGAGCTATTTTTAAAAAAATATCGCCATCAGTCATAAACAGAAGTACATAACCATGTACTTCTGTCATAAAAGACTACAAGTTATAGTCTAAGTCRCTTCAAAACCATACACAGCAATGTTAAATATTATCAGCAACACGAGATTAAGGTAAAATGTATTTTATTAAAAAAAAAAACAATTTTGAATCAAATGCTTTGCTTGGGTTGCCTGTGGTAAAGCGAAGAGTAACGAYATGTGAGTTCGTCTCCTTCGCAGCCTCCCCTTTTGTCGGGCTTCCTGTCCCTTTTTGGAGGGCTGCGAGGGAGACTAGATAGCGTGGTGCAAAAGGCTAACGTGATCGTAAGCAACGTGACGATTAAGAAACGTTTCCGTAAAAAAGTACGAGGTGGTTGTAAACGACGTGATGCGTGCGAAGATACATAACTGTAACGTAAATGTAGCTCTTGCGGTATATTCACGCAAGTAAAAACGGTGATGCTAAGCTGCGTCAAGTGACAAAGAAATGTGATGTAACTAAAGATGGCGATGTAGAATGACAGAGGTTACGTAGCTACGTATGGTAGCTAACGGTGGTGTTGTTAAGTATATGAGTACGCAGTAGTGACGGTTGCTTATGACAACGATTGACAGTAAGTACACTGGAAAAAATCGCGCACTTTAAAGGATGTAAATTTGATGTAACAGATTTACATCATTTTGGACACTTACATCATATTTACATCAAATTGACAACTTTTAAAGTGCGCGACTGTTTTCCAGTAAGAAACGGCATTGATGCATGATGCAACGCGGAATAAAAGTGACTTTACGGAGGTAAATGCGCGGTAAGTGAKGCGTAGCGGTAACGAAGTTCGATAACTTTGGTGACAGTAAGTAAGTTTCGTATGACTGTGCAGAGCGATATGGTGATGTAAGGTTACCAAAATAATATGTAGTTAGTAATGTGACGTAAGAATATGTAGTTTTGAGTTGATAATTGTAGAAGTCATCTTCCTACAGCAGTTTTTCGATATCACTTGCGATGTCCTAAAGAAAGTATCATAAAAAATAATATAACCGATAWGACTCATAAACGGAAATATGTGGGTTTTGTTACGAGGTGCTTCCAAAGGGTCGTCAGTCTCCCTGTGGTCGAGTTAAATTTCTCGGCTTCCACGGGAACAGAGAAAAAAAAGACCCTTTGGTGTCCTTTTTGCAGGGTTTGCAAAACACCCRCACTCCCCTTGCAAGAAATAGCCCCCTGCCCCCAACCAATTGTATTTTRTCCCAGTTCACAAAAGTTCTCACCAAAGGAGCCACAGGAGGGGAGTATCGCTTGACAGGTTTGCCTTCTCGATTACACAAAAACTGAAATCAAAAAAGACAACATAAGATCAGATGAAACGATGATTTGAATTATTATCACGTAAAGGCTTCAGCAGTAGTCATTTATAATGCTGTATGTTATAAAACAAACTGAAAACAAAAATGAAGTTGTCAGCCATAGCCTAAATGTGTTGGGTTTCATTTTCGGCTGTCCTTTAAAAACCTAACTATATATGAATTGATCAGGTCTCAGCTTCAGACAAATGAAAACTAGTTTTTCTATAATTTTAATAAAGTCTTTTATATGCGTGAAAATTTCACTTATTACAACTGTTGGCGTAAGAGGGCATAAGATTTGCCACTTTAAAGCTACTGTAAGTCCTTTTATGTCATGTCCAGAATTGAAATATCACAGAGTTAACGAATTTTCGTTAAAAGAATCGGTGTTCAATCCATTTCATGTAGCACCCACCACGAAAGTATTGTAGTAGTACGTGAGATTGATTAATGCAAAGGTTTAGAGGGAGGGACGACGGAAGGGACAAAGAAGGTGGTTGAAGGGGGTAGGTGCATCCCTAAAGAAATTTATTGAGAAAGAAATTTATATACGATATTTCAAACTATTATATATGCCCCAAAAATTTCCGTTCTCCCTACGCCCTGAGCACAGATACCGACAAAATTAAAAAAATTGAAACGAAAGATGAATGGATAGAACAAAACATACTCGGTAAGAACTGAAAGTCGAGTTTCAGTATTACAAGGAAAAACGAATAAGTAAATGAGTTAGTCAGTTGTATTGAATGTCAGCGCTTTTATTTTACCTTAGCAAAATTCCACTTGATAAAACTAGAAAAAAGAAAATAAAATTACCCAACCTCGTTCTCAGGACCTTTATCCCTTCGTTTGGGGTTAGGCCAAGTGAAGGGATAATGTCCTGGGGACGAGGTTGAAAATCACTATTATTCTGCAATGCAGAATATGCATTTTGTGTATATTTCCACCATTATCCATTCAAGACTAGGAAAATTGGACATGGAGAACCCTTAAGACCCGGTAATTTGGATTTTTRTGCAATTTTCCAGTTTTCAAAAATATAATAGATTTTGTCTAATCCCTCAGAGGAAACGTCTAGTTAGCTCATCTCAGAGTACTGAATAAAAGTTTACAATTTAATTCTTTAGAAATCTAAGATCAAAATGATTCCTCAATATTAAGTTTGTGTATCAATGTAATTATGTATATCAAATCACGGAATATGACGATTTTCTCACGTGACTGCTCTTTGCCGCAGCCCGAGTAAGCGCTCTATAGGAGCTTCAGGTTTCTAACGACACTGCATTTTGTCGTCACGCGGACAAGACCAGCTATAAAAACTTTTTTCTTTACCTTCCCAATGTYCCTTTCWGCTGACTCTTCAAGTATTTGTACAAAGGAATAGCATTCGCGCCYTTTACGTTCACTTTTGAAAACATGTCAAACTGTACGTTGAATTTTTCAGCAAACATTTTAATGACAGGTTCAGGATCA